CAATGGATGATCAAGGTTTTACGTAGGAATACATAGGAAAAATCGTTAAAATTCCTCACAAGAACAACAAAGCCATGATTGATCATCAATATAAAAAATTATAAAGGCAATGTATATGTAGATTTAAATTTGTTAAAATCTTGACCAACTATAGGAGAATGGAGGATTCACTAAGGTGGATCATAGATTCATAGTTATGTTAAGAAATATAAAGGCTATAAATTACAAAAAATTTTCATCTTCTAATTAATCTAAAGACATCCGTAGGAAGTTCTATAGATTTAAGTTTGTTCAAATACCCCCTCCCCCTCATCCCTGGACCAACTTTCTTATTTAAACTTTTCAAAACTGAACTGATTTTTGCTTTTACCTAGCTAGTTGCTCAAATGATTGATGTGGCCCCTGGGCCTCTTGTTATCTTTGTTAAAATAAAGCTAAGAGTTTGTAAAACTGGTTTAAAGACTCGATTAGTTTTATTTTTCTGTGTGTCAATAATAGTACAAAATTTATCATTTTCTGACCCAGATCTTTGACTTTTTGAAAGCGTCAATGTTTTGTCTCCACATTGCTTTTTATTTTGTACTTAGATTGAACCTGAAAGTTAATTGAAATTCTTCCACTAGTACCCTTAATTTACTGCTTCTAGATCTGATATTGGTGTTTATTAAGTAAACTCGTGTTTATGAAACATTTAGTATTTTTAAACACAGCGTGAGACTGAAGTATTTAAACATTAAACCTCATGTGTTTAGAATTTAAACACTTTAAAATTAAATGTGTTTATTGATTAAACACTTCACGAGGTGTTTGAATTTTAAACGCGTTTAAGTGTATATAATCTGTGGCAATTTGGGAATTATTTTTTTAACACAAATGTTGTTTCACAGGTATACAATAATTTTATGAAAATTTATAAATAGATTTCCATTAGGTATGGGTATCGCCGAAAATTTCGTATCGCAATATATCACGATTTTTTCCTACAATATCACGATATTTTTAAAAGCAGTTTTTACAATGATTTTATATGAAAAGTCATTATTTTTTAAAAAAAATATGCTAGAAAAACAAAATTTTACTTTCTTGAAATTTTTATGTACATAAAATCAATTAGGTTTGGACGGTAAGATGCCGTTCTTTTCACTTTTTACAACATTTTTCTATACATTCTGTAATTGTAATTTGAAAGATTGAACAAATAAATGAATAATTTGTGGACTTTATAATATGTACCTAAAGACCGGTATTTAGGTTTCCGTATCACGATACGTATCACGCAACAAAAAATCGCGATATACCGGTATACCGATAAAATCGCACATCTTCCATGGAAGAAATATATGCAATAAATTTAAATAATTGTATTCTATATCTCATGCTTAAAGTTTGCGAGGTATCCATAAATCGCAATCAATTATAACAAGAGGCCCATGGGCCACATTGCTCACCTGAGAAGCTTTGACCATGCTGTTCTTTACCAGATAGTTTCATCTTTTCTGGCCCAGTAGTTTCTGAGAAGATTTTCCCTAAATATTTGAATGTAAAACTTGGATTCCCTATTGTGGCACCGCCCAACCCCCAGGGGTCATGGTTTGTACAATTTAGAATCTATACTACCTATGCTTTCACATAAGTTTCAGCTTTTCTGGCCCAGTGGTTCTTGAGAAGAAGATTTTTAATGAACCCACCCCATTTTTGTCTTTTCTTGATTATCTCCCCTTATGACGGAACTTCAATTTTACAATTTAAACTCCCCTTCACCCAATTTTTTTTTGTACCAAGTTTGGTTACATTGTAAAATTGGCACAGTGGTTCTTGAGAAATTGAAAATGTGAAAGTTTACAGATGGACAGACAGACAGACGGACGACGGGCAATGGGTGATCAGAAAAGCTAACTTGAGTTTTCAGCTCAGGTGAGCTAAAATCAATCCAGTAGTGAAAAGCTTAATTGCATAAGTGGTCCCGACCTACCGCTAAAAACTAGGGTGGGGCGTTATGATTTGAAATACATATTGGATCTACACTTACTACATGTAAGAAGTCTGAACTTTCATTTTGGCCTCGACCTACCCCCGAGGGTCATGATTTGAACAAACCTGAATCTACTCTACCTGAGGATTCTTCTATTTAAATATGACCAGCAATGGCCTTGTTGTTATTCAGAAGAAATTTCTAAAAATATTTTTCCTATATTCCTATGTAAAACTTTGATCATCCATTGTGGCCCCACCCTACCCCCGGGGGTCATGAACGAACTTCAATCTACACTGAGGATGCTTCCATATCAATATGTCTAATCATGGCTTTGTTGTTATTCAGAAGATTTTTTAAAAGATTTTCCCTATGTATTCCTATGTAAAAGTTTTATCGTCCATTGTGGTCCCACTCTACCCCCCCGGGGGGGGGGGGCATGATTTGAACAAATTTGAATCTAATCTACATGAGGATACTTTCACATTAGTTTATCTTTCCCGACTCAGTGGTTCTTGGGAAGAAGATTTTTCAAACATGCCCCCAAATTTTTACTATTTCTTAATTATCTACCCTTGATAGAGAGCAGGGCCCTTCATTTGAAACAAGAGGCCCAAGGGCCTTGAATCGCTCTTCTAATAAATTGTACAATCTATCACTTCTATTTGAAGCCTCTAACTCTAAGTATCCCAAAATGCAGGAATTGACAAAGTTTGATGATTCTTAGCCAGTTAGGACTAAAGAAATTTCAGTATAGCTATAAAATACCATAAGTAGGTTAAAATGACCTACTTTTTGTTTTGAAATTTTCTGAGGACTCAAGATGCATCAACTGACAAAGTTTGATGATTCTAAGCCTATAAGTACCTGAGATAATTAAAAGTAGGTCATCGTGACCTACTTTTTGGTCGACATTCTCCGAAAACCCAAGATGCCTCAACTGACAAAGTTTAACAATTCTAGGCCAATGAGTACCCGGGATACTTAAATTTAGCCATAAAAATACAAAACTAGGTCACAGTGACCTAATTTTTAGTCGACATTCTCCGAAAACCTAAGATGCATCAACTGACAAGGTTTGATGATTCTAGGCCAATAAGTACCTAAGTGCCAATACTTAAATATAGCCATAAAATGTCAAAAGTAGGTCAAGATGACCTACTTTTTAGTTGGCATTTTCTGAAGACCCAAGATGCATCAACTGAAAAAGTTAGAAGATTCTAAGCCAAAAAGTACCTGAGATAATTAAAAGTAGGTCATCGTGACCTTCGTTCTGGTCGACATTCTCCGAAAACCCAAGATGCCTCAGCTGACAAAGTTTAACAATTCTAGGCTAATGAGTACCAGGGATACTTAAATATAGCCATAAAAATACAAAACTAGGTCACAGTGACCTACTTATTAGTAGACATTCTCCGAAAACCTAAGATGCATCAACTGACAAAGTTTGATAGCCATAAAATGTCAAAAGTAGGTCACCTTGACCTACTTTTTGGTTGATATTTCATGAAGACCCAAGATGCATAAACTGACAAAGTTTGATGATTCTGAGCCAATACGTAGCTAAGATATTCAAATATAGCCACAAAATGTCAAAAGTAGGTCACCATCACCTACTTTTTGTTGAAATTTTCCGAAGACTGAAAATGCATCAATTGACAAAGTTTGATGATCATAGGTCTGACAGTATTCAAAATATGCCTTTTAAACAATTTGAAAACAAATGCCGCAAAATTCAGAAAGTTGGTCACAGTGACCTACTTTTTCATAAATATGTTTAAAGGTCCCAAGATGCATCAACTTACAAGATTTGGTGATTCTAAACCTCTCAGTGTCTGAATTAATGGGATTAAATGTTTTAGAAAAGATTAGCCATAAAATTTAAGAAGTAGGTCACGGTGACCTACTTCTAAGTTGGCGTTGTTTGAGGACCCAAGGTGCATCTACTGACAAAGTTTGATGATCATAGGCCTTAAAGTGTCAAAAATATGGCTCCAAATCAATTTGAAAACAAAAGCCCGTAAAATTTTAAAAGGTCACCGTGATCTACTTTTGTGTTTACATAATGTGAAGTCCTAAGATGCATCAACATACAAAATTTGATGATTAGTCTTTATAGTAAGCAAAATATAAACGTTTTTATTAAGTGTAAATTTTTGTCAAGTTTGAAGTGACCTTGAGACCACGCCCTTTGCCCCAGGATCATGCCTTGAACAATTTTTAATCTTCAACATATCTTGACCCTTGTGTGTAAGTTTGGTGAAAATCTGCTGGGTGGTTCTGGAGAAGAAGATTTTTTAGCAACCAGTACTTTTGGTTTTATTTTCCTGATTATCTCCCCTTGTTTTAGAGTCCTATCCCTAGTTTTTGTATAAATGGTAGCCCTTGGGCCAAGGATACTTCCTGACAAATTTGAAAATGATTGGCCAAGGGGTTCTTAAGTTATGGCCCATATTCTAAAAAGTTAACGCACACCGCACAAATGGCCATAGCGTTACCTCTTTGAGCCTTTGGCTCAGAAGAGCTAGAAACCCAAATTCCCTTCACCAAGTATGCTTTGTGGAAAGTTTGGTTGAAAATGGCCCAGTGGTTCTGGAGAAAAGAAGTCGAAAATGTTAAGATTTTTCAGAAAGAGGTCAAAATGGACAACATTTTAACAATTTTAGCATGTATAGAGTGCAGGCCTGCTTAAGAACAATACCGGTATTTGTATATTTTATTGATACTATCATTCTACACATTATTTCAAAATATTGAGCCTGAGCAAACCTGCGCTCGGTGACTTTTACTCAAAATATCGACGAAATATATACCTTTTTCTAAAGAAATGAGGGAAATTTTACATTAACGTCATTTCAAACATAGGACATCATTGCTTATGAAAATATTTAGTGCTTTGAAGTGCTTTGAACGTTTACGAACATAATTAAATATTTCTCCGTCAAAGTTTTATTTTTGGGGCAGATATTGATTATTACCGAATAAAGTCCTTTGAATTATGTATTTATAAACACTCCCCGCTTGAAAAGCGGGAGGGTATATAGTAATCGGGATGTCCGTCCGTCTGTTACGCTTTAGGGTACCCATCTCATTAAATCTGCAACTCCTATCATACCACTAAATGAAATTTGATGAGACTTTCACAGAATCTTTATTACATATTGCCATTGTGCACCTCCTTTTTTAGTTTTTGATCCGACACATATTTTGGGTTTCCCAAAGCAAAACGTTGACACTGCCATTATATATTCATTTAGTGAGCTCATTGCTCACAGTACCTCTAGTTTACAATATAATACAGAGAAAAAACATACTAGTACAGTATATAACATGATTGTCTATGTACAGGATATTGAAATGAGAAAGGAATGAAGGACTTCAAAATGTCAGCATTTATCTATATAAAGTAATTTTTGTAATTCTGCTGATTTCACTCTTCCAAACCTATGTCATAGTTTGGGACGCCCATTTTTGAAGTTTTGAAAAATTCTAAATGTTGTTCAACAGGCCTACGGCATTGTTTGACGGCTAAACATTCCGACATCCGAGTCGTCCATGCCATCAATTTTGGCAAAGATCCGTCCGACAAGATGGCTTGGGAAAGCATTTTCTCCATGACCAACATTCTCTCAAACCAGGGCCAAATCATTAAGTCTATCATCTGTACTTTATCACCTATAAAAAGATATAAAGAGAAAGTATACATTTTGGAACCACTTCAGAGGTGTAGATGAAAATTCATTTCAAGTTAGATATTAATGCGATCAATAATATTTCAAAGAATTAATTGTTGATTGAATGTTACAACCACTGGTTTCAAACTTCAATAATAAGGCATGGTAGAAATATATGATCTTTCTCAAGACTGACTTGTATCAGTTTTGCTTAAGGAACTTTAAGAAGTTTAAAACACAGATCACTAAGAGTTTAAATCCATTGTACATGTACAATAGGTTTATGCAGTAAGTGTGATCTGCCACAAGTTTGGTGTAAATGGGGTACATAAATGGAAATAGATTTTAAATGACACAATATCAAATAAACTTATCTAAATAAATCATTATATAGGACCAAAGAAAAGTAATTTATTGAAAACATCATTTGATTAAAGTACAATGTATATATCCTTCTAATATGAATAGACAACAGTGATCATTTCTATTCGTAATTTTATTTGTAATTTTCTTTGAAGAAGCAATTTTCAATTAAGTATACACAAGCAATGGTCAATACTTAGAACAAAAACTCACCTCCAAAGTAATCTCCCCTTTTTTGTATTTCTGTTTCAAATCTGAACATTTGTTTACGAAACTTTTCCAAGCCAGCGGGCATTTCTGCAGGGGGACCTTGGCGGACTTTATAGAAATCTGTCATCATCTAATTCAAAACACAATGTTACATAAAATTAAGGCAACTTTACTACATGTAATTTCTAAAAATCGTAGAGAAAAAATGTGACAAAGATCGATCTGATACGCATCGTCTTTGGATGTTGAAATCATCTTTCAAAAGAGATATCCTAAAGATCCAGTAAGTAACATTCTAGTGATTAGTACCGCAGAAAATTAAAATTAACCATGTCTTCCAAAAATTATACTTATTCAAATATAGTGTTTATTTTACTGCTTGAGTCACCTGAGAGAAATGTTCAACAAGCATTTTATCCTGAGCCTGGCGGTAAGGGTCCTCAGGGGTCAGTTTGTTTTGGGGATACACCTGATCCAGGTAGTCACAACAGATGAGGGACTCGTACACGATCTTATCATCTTGTTCCAGGACGGGCACTTTGCCGAGAGGATTCTTCTGGAGGAACCATTCTGGTTTGCTCTTCAGATTTATATTAACGACTTCGTGCCTGAAAGCAATTATATAAGATTTTCAATAAATTCATTAAGCACTTCTAAATATTCAATATTCTCAAACAACAGTCTAATACAATTTCGAGCATATCTTCAGAGATAGTTTTGGAAATGGGTAAATGTTGTTGCATACAATACTCCAAGATTATTTTTAATAAATTGATAAACATCTTCATTTCACGTGAAAATACCGGTATTCATGACCAATTTTTATTTTGTAATTATTTACCGCATGCTAATGCAATTTCTTATAGCTTGGTTTTGTTTGTACAGGTGTAGTGGCCAAATGTATTTTAACGATTGAATTCCTGTTTGAAGGGGGTTGGGTTGGAAAATATGATGTTATAAAAAAATTGATGTAAAGATAATAAGTAATGGCTTTTGTGTTTGAAATGTTTTCTATCGAAATAAAACAATATCTGCTAAATTCACCAAGACCAGGTGTATGAAAGACAACTCCTTATAAAGTAATATAGTGAAGTATTTCTGTTCATTTGATGTCTTTTGGGCCCTTCAAAATTTTCTGACATAAATAAAAGTTATACAATGTTCATATCCAAATACACTGAGCATTTTCTTAAAATAAAGAGTCGGTTAAAAAAAACTACAAGTAAAGACAGTATTCCTCTTGAACATTCTAAAATCGTAATTTAGTAAAAATTCAGAGGGGTGATAAAAAAATTCGCGAACTAATTGAATAACTTCCATAAAAGACACAATATTTGGTTTCAGTGTTGATTATATTTTAAATTAGTCCTCTCCGATTTTAATGCACATCTTCCACCGTTCTGCTCATGCGCGAATCACGTGATATAGGCGGTCACGTGACGCCCTCCGTAGCGTTCTGTCACAAAAGCTGAAAGATTTTTCTGAGTTTTATATTTCTTTCCATATAAGTTAATTTTTAGAACAAGAACAGTTCATTTGTCAGAAATGGTCAATTCTCTGCAACAGAAGGGTGGATAAGAATATCTTTTTCCAAAATAAGCATGGCGACCATCAAAACTCAAATCTTCTGCCTCGGGAGAGACGTTTATTCAAGGTGGATAGAGAATGGTGCCTCCTTTTTATCATATCTAATATGTTTAAAATCTAAGTAAACGATATCTTAAGAATGTGCAAATTATTATATGCTACTTCAAAGGGATTTGTAAGATATACAGTACTATAAATTTTACAGTCGTTTGTTGAACAAATACGACTGAGAAAACCATTTTTCGTCACAAGTGACCTACATAGTGACGTCCTTTTCACATTGTGACGTCACAAACAAGGAGTTTATTCAGGATATGCTATTTATAGAACTTGTGTATGGCTACATGTGTACCACTTTTTTCTTCTAATCTGAATTGTGGTTTTGTAGATATAGAGATAGTTCGCGAACTTTTTGATCACCCCTCGTACATGAAATTTGACGAGAGTGTTTCACGATTCCATATAGAGATGCAAAGGATGTTTTAAAGAAAAGAAATACTGTAAAATCACATATTTTCGTGCAGTAAAAATTTAAAGGTTTAGGGGAAAAGTATTAGTTTGTTGGGATTTGATTTCTTTGCTGAATATTTAGTAGTAAATAGTATATTTAATGCATTTGAAATTTTAAATTTTGTGATGGTCATGAATTCGTGGGTCTATTTATACCTCATTTAAATGACAGAAAACAAGCCCCGCAAAAATTAGTGATTTCACAGAAACAGAATGGGTATACAGATTAAAAAGAATCTTACGGTATATTCTTGTGAGCCAGCACCAGGAGTGATCTTTGAGCAAATGGACAGAACCTCATGCTGTACACTCGAAGGACTCCATTTTCTAAGGTGGGAGCTTTGGAACCTAGTAAATAAGCATAATTCCTAATTTTAAGACGTGAAATGGATTATGTGCAGATATACACTTGTAAAAGAGGGCCTACAATTGTAATGAAAATGAGAGTAAATTTGAAGTCTCTTATGAGACTAATCTTCGCTAGCCAAGGGTTTCTGATACCCTAACCCTGTTCATAAGGAGAGTAGCGTATCAGAAACCCTTTCTAGCGAAGATGGATGAGATTGTACATAGCTCTATATACTGGTTTGTACTTATGATAAATGGAGAGAGAATAAATAGAACTTTGATTTGAAACGTTGCAACAGCTATAATGGAATTATATATCTTAGAGTAGTCTATATTTGTGTGCCAGGTTATTTTGAATCAGAGCAAAACTGTAGGAGGAGCTTAATTTGAATGTATTTCACAGACATTTCTAATTTTGATATCCATGTATCACCGTTCAGCATAAAAAAACCAATAAAAAAATATTAAGTCCAATTTTAGTAAATAGTCACATGCCGTGTGCCGAGTAATAGGTCTATTGAAGTAAGACTTTTAAAGTTTAGGGGGCGGTTGAAAGTTTTCAAAGAAAATTCTATTTTTAGCAAACATGGCAACATGCACCGTTCATCGAAATCAAAGGCCGATGTACAGAATAATAACTGCTAGTAGTTTTTTTTTTATAGAAAACTACTAAAAATCAACGTATATGAGTATGCTCGAAACAGAAAATGTCGTCTGGTCAACAGGATTGGCAGCTAGGTAAGATGTGTTTATTTTCTCACAAAATTGAAATTCTTAATAATTTAGTACATATTGGCCTAAATAAAACCCCAAATAGCAAACCATAACGGGGTAGCTGGAATGATGTGACTGAAAACATACAGGCCATGTAAAGATACATGTAGCTTCGAAATGTATAAATAGCTCTCCGAAAAAAATATATTGACATATGGTGAGCTATAGTTCCACCCATTGAAAAAAAATGTATATTTAATGGGCACAGAAAGTGTGCTGTTTCTCTATTTATTTCTCGAAGTTTTTTAAAACTTTCATCTGAAAATATAATCTCCGCTCTGTGACTGACACTGTCAAAATATTTTTTTTTTTCGGAGAGCTAAGTGTTCTGCAGCTGATATAAATATGAGGAGATCATTTAATTTGTCATTAAATAGTCTAAAATACCTTGTTTTTAATAACACCATACGAAGGAGTTTATGTGCAATTTCATACATGTAATTGGTCGATTTTTGAAAAAATAAAAACTAGGCCTAATTAAAGAAAATCAATGAACATTTGAACACGTACACCGTGTTATAAAAACTAGTAAGTGTAACCAAATTATTAAAATTTCAGCAGTCTACAACCTAAAAAGTATGAAATACATGATCCTATTGTATTAAATATATGATAAATTAATATTTACGTACCTGCGGCAAAGGCCTTTTGATTTGGCATGACTGACATTGATTGAGGCTGATGATTGCACGGGTAGACTTATATCGGCGATCAGATGTCCCGTTTTTTCGCCTCAGTAGATCGTTACAATTTTTGACCCCCTGAGAACAAGCTTTTCCCCCTGAACAGACCGTAAATCGTTATAGTTAATGACCTCTTTGAATACATTTACTTACACTTTCCGTGTACAATTTAAAAGTATTAGGTTTTTTTTGTAATTTTCGGAATAAATAACTAAGTCCGTAGCAAGGTGTCCAAGTTGGGGGGAGGGAGAACCTCCAAAATTTTTTTTTTAAATTGGTCAGACTCCTATTTCTTGGGTGAGGAGGAGGAAGGGGTCTTTCTCTGGACCTTCTTAATTTTTTTTAAAAATGGTATTTATCAGTATTCGACCAAAAAGTTCACTCCCAATTTTTCTTTCATTTTCGAAAAGAAATACAATGAGAAAATATCTAAACTTTTGATAGTTCATGTGCACAGAGTCCACTCTTGCTACTGATAAGGTTTTAACTGAGTTTTGTTGAAACGAATAGGGGAGGGCAGGTAGTGAAACAGATGATGTCTGTGCAGAAAAATCAGGGATGCAGAATATTTGTGAAATATCTTAAGCACAAAGGTAAATATAACATTTCAAATAACTTTGCAAAACTTATCAAGTTATCATGGAATACAAATAATACGACAAAACTATTCTTCGGAAAAGTGACTTATCGTTCTTTTACCTGACCTCATTAGTTTTATATGATACAAGATAATCTGTAACGACAAAAATAAATAATCCTACATTTTCACACAAAATGACCAGCACTTTTGTCATGTGGGTGGTTTAAAGACGGTTATGTATATTTTTATATGAAAAAAAATACTATAATTTCGTTAAATATTAATTGTTATAAAATGAAAAGCACAATCTTGTGATTATGTCAGACTGGAAATTTAAATTTCAGTTACACACTACTTTGAAATTTTCAAAAATATTTCATTATGGAACGAACTTTCTTAACACCCCTTATTAAAAAAACACGACAAAAGATTTCTGGATTATACGTAGTGTTTGGACATCTCCTTCGCGCGCATATGAGAGAGCAAATTAAATACCGGTATATTTGTTTGCAAAGTATCAGAAACCAAGGGGTTAAAATGGACAATGCATGTGCATATATTGTAAACATAACCATTTTATTCTTATATTTATGCCCCCGTAATAGAAGATTCGGGGGTACAGTATATAGTTTTACCCTGTCCGTCTGTCTATTTGTCGACATTTAACTTTGCCAATAGCTTTTAAGTGCGTAGGGATATGGCTTTCAAATTTCACATGTTTATTCCTTGTGACAAGACCTTTCTTAAATTACCACCAAATTTGACCTCGACCTTGACCTTTCATCCACCTTACCAAAAAATCCCATCAAACTTTCAGTGTAAAAATGGTACTAGAGCTTAAATATTTCACATGTGTATTCATTGTGACAAGACCTTTCAATGGGAATAAATATTTTGATTCCTTTGAATACCAACAATTTTTTACCTTGACCTTTGACTGGTATTTGAAAATTTCAATCCTGTAGGTATACATCTTTACATTTATATGACACTCATTCACACCATCCACATCCATAATATTATATCTATAATATACTTCACATATCGTTCATAATTACAAATACAGTTTGTCACTTAATTCTCTTTAACAAGTACATGTAAACTTCTTTATTGGTTTTCTAATTGTATGGTATACTTTTTTCTAAAAGACAGTTTATTTTCAAGACTACAGTGCTGCAGTCTTGCAGATACCTGGTATACCTCACCTTGTTAGAAGATCTCATTGGGAAATTTTCAGAGATATTCTACAAAACCTAAAACATGTCTTTGGGAAACTACAATTAGCTGATTTGAAGCTGGAGGCCAAAATGTACGATAAAGTAACAGATTGAGAGGTTCAGTGCAAGTGTTACACATGCTCTTAAATACACAGATTATACAGTCGCCCATGTGGAACATGACTAGAGCGTTTGCTTTTAGTCACACAGTAAGGAGTTGATCGGATCATGCATATACTTATATCGAAGATTCGAATCCACTGTGTGCCGCGGAAGCCCGTCTTTGGATGAGACCGCGTATACCAATGATACGTGTCGCAGTAAAGTCTTGCAAGAAATAAGTCCCCACTGCTCAAAGGCTCTATTTTCAAAGAATAGTGCTAAATATCCAGCCCTCCATCGACAAAGCGGTTGTGGCATCCCGATATGAATGAAAAATTCTCGTACGGACATTAAAAATGTTGTATCTATACCATATGCATATATTTTAACACCCCTCTGACCTCGATCGTTAATTTTTTTTACACTCTAAACCTTCTTTCTTTGACCATCAGACATCTTGAAAGCAAGTATGAATGACAATCTAAATGTGTCATTAAACTGATTTAGAAACATGCAGTGACACACACAAAGCCATACTAGTATTCGAGCTAGTATAATTATTATACATTGGTGAAAACCCCTAATTGTAATTAAAGGCAGTAAAGTTTACAAACACATAGATGCACAGAGCCTGTTATTGATATGCTTTAATTAAAAACAAATAGGATTGTATTTTCACAAGATTTAAGTATATGGTAACTACAAGTGTAACATATGGCTTGGAGGAGTATGATATGAATACTGTTAAATAGGGTATAAGAGTATTTCTATTCATTTTATCCAATCGATCAGATTTTTTTACTGTCAACAGCAAAGATGTCATTCTTCCAAACCTACGTCATAGTTTGGAACCCCAGTTTTGTAACTTTGGAAAAACGCCAAATGTCTTTCCTCGGGATGGCGGCACTGCTGTACCGCTGGGCATCCCAACATCCGCTGTGTCCATGCACTTAATTTTGGCATAGATTCTTCAGTCACAATCATTTGCGAAAGCACTTTTTCCAAGATAAAGAATCGTTCAAACCAGGGCCAAATCATAAGGTCTATCATCATCACTTTCTCACCTGCAAAATACACATTCCACTATACTGAGAAAAATATGATAGTTGGATCAGTTGTATAAAAGCGCGAATACATAAGCCCGTCGTATTACATGCAGAACGTAAGAACTTTGAAATTTAGGTCTACTTAGTGCTTATTCTTGCCCAGGTAATGAAAAGTGAATATTTATTTTACTTATCATTTTATTTATTGATTTATTTGACTGAAAAAAAGTTGAGAAAAACACACCTCCAAAGAAATCCCCCCTCTTCCCTATTTCAGTTTCGAATCTTGACAAGTGCTCAAGAAGTTTTTTCAGTCCCGCTGGTTTCTCTTCTGCAGGTGCTTGTAAAGTTTTATAGAAGTCCGTCGTCAACTGTAAAAAAAAAATCGAAAGGAAATTTAATATTATTATATCTATATAATACTGTAACTTTATCTGAAATAGTGTCCATATAATAGGGAAGGAAAATGCAATGTGACCATGGAGATGGGGTTTAATAAAGTGATCTTGCATCTAAAGCGGAACTTGAAAAAGGTTAAGTTTTTTTCTTATTAACTTTGTCACAAGATGTTGAGCTTGACATATTTTTAAGTCACCCGGTTGGTAGAGCGTTTGCTCTAGAGTCGCAAAGGAAGGAGTTGATCATGACACGGGTATGAATTGCACTGCAGGACGTCGAGACTGCATGCTCCTTCGGATGAGACCGTATAAACTGAGGTCCCGAGTCGCCAAAAGAACTGGTACGAAAAAGAGCCCTCACTGCTCAATAGCCCCGAGATCAGAGTGTAGGTCTAAATTTGAGGTGCTATCTATGACAAAATGTGGAAATGTAGAGTTAATTTTACACTTTGTTCATGAGGAAACGTATATTTACCTGGCTGAAATGTTCAACGAGCATTTTATCCTGAGCCTGGCGGTAAGGATCCTCAGGGGTCAGTTTGTTTTGGGGATACACCTGGTCCAGGTAGTCACAACAGATGAGGGACTCGTACACGATCTTATCATCTTGTTCCAGGACGGGCACTTTGCCGATAGGATTCTTCTGGAGGAACCATTCTGGTTTGCTCTTCAGGTTTATGTTGACGACTTCATGTCTTTAGGTGATAAAAATTGTTAAGTTGCAGTGATACAGTATTCATGTATGTACATTAATCCATTGCATTTAAACTAACCTTCAATACCTTATAAGAAGAGTTTGTTGAAATACCACTGCATAAGAAACAAAAGACTTACATAAGATTTGAATATCCAAAAATGAAAAAATTATGCTCTGTGCCTTTGAAAATGCATATGATATGATGAACTCTATTACAAATTAGCAAATTTAACTAATGAAAGGCTTAAGCTCTCAAACTAGTCCTTGTATTCTTTATTAACGATATCTTGTTTGTTCAGCAATCAGCATTGTCTATAATACGAGAGCTGTTCAAAAAATAATGTCCCGAATTCTTTGACATACAAGATTGTAATCATATGACATTAAGCTTTACATTCTCTCATTATTGAATCTTTAATGAATTGATAGCACTTTATGTGACCACTTTTTATCACAAAGTTTATTTGAAGAAGCTGGAAAATAAAGGCTATTCGAGACACTTCATTATAAATGAATGGTAAAGAATCCTTGAACTAGAGTGAATTTAACCGCTTCATTAAAGTTGCTGTAAAACTTGTTAAGAATCCGAAAGAAATGTAAACTGAAATATGAAATTTACAGCAACCAATGTTTGTTTTATACACATATGAGCAGGTGGATTTCAATGAAAAAAAATTATATAATTAGCACCAAAAATGGGTACCGTCCTTGGCGACAAGGACTTACAACAACCAATGTACTGTTTGCCAAAATTCAACAAATTATCACTGATTATGTTTGATTGACTTTAAAACACATTGCAAATTTCATAGGCATCATTTGGGGGATTAACACTGTTTTAAAGAAACATTTTACAATTAAAAAAAAAAAAAAAAAAAAAAAAAAAACCTTAACACTCAATGGTCACCCTATGTTTTGAAAAATTAGTGAAAATGACAGCGTGTAAGAATATCTAAACAATTATTTAAAAAAAAAAAAAAAATGTACTTACCCACGTTTGTCAGAAATTCAAACAGATAATGAAACTTTAACCCCTCAACACAAAACAGATTTACAATAAGATGCACTTGTCAAAAACAGCAAAGGCCTCATTGTCGCAAACCACGGCCAAAATGTACGATCCTCTCCCATTCTGAGGAGAGAGCTACATGCGAACTCCGGACCGTGGCTTGAGACGATGCAAAGGCCTGAGAAGAGCAAAAATTTGCAAGAGCACAAAAACAGTTTTATATGCAATTTTCTTACATATTAGTGGTCTTGTTTTTCAAATTCTTATTCGGGAGAAAGATCAATTTCTGGAGGAATCTAGAAAGCAAAACTTTTGCAAAAAAAATCCAAAAAAAAAAATCGAAAATTTATGAGAGGGAGGAACCAGAATCAGGAATCCACTACATTAAATTTCTTCAAGAAAGCGCCAAAACTCACAGGCCATGAAAAGTAAAGGAGTTTTCGGGATATACAGATAGTTAATGTTTTGTTACATCAACAAAATTCGTCAGATCTTTCAACCTTCAACTTGTTTAATTTTCCAAACTTGAAAAAACACCTTTCAGAAAGTAAAAAAAAATCAAGGACAGGAAATCATAGGATCTGCCATATTCCAATATACGAAGGGCCATACTCAAAAATGTGTTTTAAAAACAATCAGAAATTGGATAAAAATGTTACAGACATGAGTTTTAATTTAAAGAGAATATCTAATAAATGAAATCATTAAGACTAAATCATTGAAAAGCGTATGTTGATTCTAACCGAGCACCGAAGACATTATATATTGAACAGCCCTCGTATATGAGATAATTACTTGAATGGTATTCAAATATATTACATTACATTTCCGTGTTTCTTGATTACATAGTTATAATGTTTTCATTTATGAAATGAACAATAAAACATACGGGATATTTTTGTGAGCTAACACCAAGAGTGTTCGTTCTGCATAAGGACAAAATCTCATGCTGTATACACGGAGTTTCCCTGTTTCCAGATTGGGAACTTCAGAACCTGTCGATAAATATGACAATAAAATAATACAAAAAGACATGTTTGTGATATACTACAATGCCCAAATATTGGCCACTTAAAGTCAAGGTTTACGTTCTTCAATTATAGGTAAAAACTCCAAAGTCAAGGTTAAGAGTTTAAAAAATGTTAGAATCGGAAAATGTGTTTTGAAAGCCATACATGTAGCACCAACTATAAGAAAACATGGCGGAAAGTTAAATTTTCAAAAAGGAGGTCATATGCTAAGGTCAATGTCATGAGTTCAAAAATATATAAATAGTCTTGGAATAAATTAATGATGACCCGACTCACTGGTCTGGGGCCAGTAAATTCTCAACATGGACTGGTGCTTTGTATACAGCAAGTTCTCGAGACCAGCGGTTATTTTATGCATATAAAAATTCATTCTTGCCCAAAGGGAAAGTGAAGTCTATTGACAGTTTAAAATTTATGTTGACAGTCAAAGTTACCAGTGGGAAAATATTTCAAGCTTTGCAGAGAGACGTACAGACCAAAAAAATATGCCCCGAATCAACACTTATATGTAATTACCTTTTAAATTCTATATTTGGAACTTAAAATTATTGATAAACAGATAATTTCATAAATGTCAGGTATAAAATTGCATATGAAGATTGCCAAATAAAACCGTAAACTTATATTTGGAACTTAAAATTATTGATAAACAGATAATTTCATAAATGTCAGGTATAAAATTGCATATGAAGATTGCCAAATAAAACCGTAAACTTTAATTAGAAAGTTATTTGAAAAATATTGTTTACAAAATGACAATAATAGTGAGACCCCACTCCCGGTATTGATTACACAAGATAACACTCGTCACGTGAAACACTGGCCTGTTTTCGTTTTCTCATCTTATTCATCTTATTAATGATCATTACACTGGTCAGCTACATGTACTCACCTGCAGCGAAAGCCTTTTCAGTCGGCATTGTTCAATTCCTTCAATAAAAAAAAATCAAACGATGAATCAAAGTGCTGCCTTAATATTTATTTTTTTTTAAATGTTTTAAAAACAGGTATGTTCTATATTTTCAACTTTAAAGCCAGTATGTCAGGGACACACACATGTGAGGACACAACAGATTTTATTAAAAAGAATAATACATATTTTAAATAATACTAAAGAAAAAATGAAGTCAACGAAATAATGCTTATGAATGGGCGTCAGTTATCGATTGGGAATGTACACTACATATATGATATTATATTTGTCTGGGGGTAAACGAGGTCATGATTGGTGTCGAAGAAACCATGCAACGACAATCGACAACAACAACGACAAACGAGAAAAATAACAAAACTTGTTACATGCCATCGTGAAAATACAGTGTATTTAACAGCTGTATTTTCTTGATGCCTTTCAGCAGTGTTAAACGGTTATTAAATTTACGACACACCTTTTAACAAATGATCCGCCCATTAGCGTTCACAAAACGAAACAACCGTACACAGAACGATATTGTACGAACCGTTCCAAACAGCTGCATGCCAAAAAGGGAAGAAAAAAAAGAAAAGAAAAGAAAAAAAAGAAATCGAGTAAATAAAGAAACATACCCAGATACGTTTTAATTAAATGTCTATGTTCAAATCATAGAATGTTATTTATTGTGACGCGAGGCGAACTCGTCAACACAATTTTTATAGGGAACGTTGGTTTTTATTGTGAAAATTATTTAATGCTCCAATTTGAATCACACATTGTAACACTATAATCCACTGCACTAGTAAATCCCAATATATAAATCCCAATGTATCAATTTGATTAAGTAAACCTTGTATTAAACCTTTACCTTTCTTCAAGTAATAAAACCAATTCTATTCTACTATTTATTTACAGTTTAAAGAAAATGAAAGTCATGAAAAATTATGAAAACAAATCAACCCAACTTCTTTTATTCTCCTAACTTACCTAATAATTCCCTATTAAAACTATATATAATTATCAATGAATACCTTTACATTTATTATAAATCCCTAATACTTTAACCAATCACCAGAGCTACACCTTGGTAAATATTTCGGTGTAACCCAATCACCAGAGCTGCACCTTGGTAAATATTTCGGTGCAACTCGGTGTTTACCAAGATTAACCAAGTCACCAATACACAACACCTTGGTAAATTTCGGTGTAAAATTGGTGCTGGTATTAATTTCCAGGAATAAGAGAAGTAATAGCCGTTTAATAATTTAGGCTATCACCAATAATTTCTCCGAAAGCCCTTGGTGTGTAATAATTTTACCAAAGATCTCGGTGAAATATCAGGTGTCACTTGGTAAATCCTAACCAAACTATAATAAATGTTTAATTACCAAATCCTCTCTAGCCCGTCTTAACTGAGCCTCCGACATCTTCAAAATAATCAACAAGTCTACAGAGCAATTAACCAATTGAACCCTATTTATACTGGTCATCCCCTCAATGACAGTTATATACTGCAGATTAATAGAGATGCTGGCTAAGAAACTCCCCCTACCAGACGGCCCACTGTGAATAAATAGAAGTTGGGAAGTGATACAAATTAACAAAGAAACATTAAGCAATGTATTTACACAGCAATTCACTACTGTAAAATTAGATCATTAAACAATTATCAGGATAAAGAGAGTTACAAAACTTACCTATCAAGGTAAAATATAAATTTGTAACATAACCCCCCTCTCTAAAAAGTTTAGTCCCTAAACTATTTAACTTTGACTGTAGTGAATTGCTTCACATCAATTTTACATCAATTTTAAAACCGTAAAATGTAAAAACACACAAACTTTAAGCATAGACAAAAAGTCTTCTCTTTACTGGTTTACTCTATCACGTGTCTACATCTGCACATTTCAAGTCTCTTTTTAATCATCTTAATTCACAGTTACTTGCTGCAGGAACAAAATCCCTTTAATTGTCTTTCAATTATGTCCACAAAGTCAGTAAGTTCATAATATTCACATTCCACTTTTAATGCTGCCAAGGCTCCCTTCTCGTTTGGTAAGGTCGGAATAGAAACCTGTCCTTTGTTTCGAAGATAATTGAGAATTACTGCAAAATGTTTTGGGTCCCTGTCCAAGAAATAAGACGGAATAATTCCATTAGAAGATTTGATTTGCATCAACTTTGCCAACTTTGATGGGATAGATGTTATCGTCTCTTTCGTTGTCTTGAATTTATATCCACCAACATCTAACTGCACCATGTTTTTCTGCATTTGTTCCATTTGTTTGATGACACTCAACTCCTCTTCTTCTTTGTCGAATTGGTCATCTGCTTCTATGGAAATCTCATCATATTCTTTACTAACTGAACTCACTAACGGCGACCTTGACCTTGTTCGCGATCTGGATGGCATCGGTCTTCGGATGGAAACTTTGGTAATTTGTAATGGAAGGATGTTCTTACTCCATTTTTCTAACTCCTCTTTTGCTTGGCTTCCTGTAGAATCCGTGCGTAAATTAACAATACTGTAGCCGAATCCTCTTTTGCAGTTCCCATGCTCTTGATCCTTTCTTGAAAGAGTTGCATTACATTCCTTACAACTATACTTAAATCCACTGTGTTGCTCCTGTGCATGCCTATTTGCTGCATAGAGGCTCTCTGACTTAAATTTTTCACACACATTGCACACGTAAGTTGTTACCTGAAAATATAAAACAAAGATCAAATAAATGAACAGCACACTACAACCAATCTTAATATAAATAGAAGTCACTATATTGAGTGGGCACTTTATAATTTCGTTTTGCACGTTTCTCATTTCTATCTTCACTTTTCTCTTTAGATGCACTTTTAGATACACTGTCACTACACTGCACATGACCAATGTCATCCAAATCACAAACATCACCATCAACATTCTCGTCATCACTTATCTTCACAACATCACCACTCACGTCATTGTCAATCCCATCTAAATGAATATTTTCACCATCACTAGCCAAAATTCTACCCGTTATTTCACTATCCATAGTCTCACTAATAATCCATTCTGGTTTATTTTCTCCCAAATAAGGTTTTAATCTGTCAGAATGCACCACTTTTGGTTTTGATCTCTGAGATTCCTGAATTCTGTACGTCACATCACTTATTTTCTTCACTACTAAAAACGGTCCAATCCAATGATTACGCAATTTTTGAGATAACCCTTTCTTCTTTGTTGGGTCATGTAACCATACTGCATCACCGAATTTATACTCATGAAAATTGATATTTTTGTCATATCTCCTTTTCATTGTATCTGCAGTAAGCTTTAAATTTTCCCTGGCGTAATCATGCACACTTCTCATTTGTTCAGCCAACTGAAATGCATAATCTGATTTGAACTGTTTTTGTTTTTCATGCTGAACTTCGCCGAACATCAAATCAATTGGTAAAGTTATTTCCCTTCCAAGCATCATGTATGAAGGTGACACTTTCGTTGCTTCATGCACAGACGATCTATAAGCCATCATCACAACCGACAAAAACATATCCCAATCTCTTTGCATAGGATCTATGAAAGCTGTTAACATATTTTGAATTGTTTGATTTGCACGCTCTACCATCCCATCTGATTTTGGTCTAAAAGGTGTGGTTCGTGTTTTATCCATATTTAACAATTCACAGATTTCCTTAAACAATCCTGATTCAAAATTTGTTCCTTGATCAGAATGAATTTCTTTAGGTACACCAAAGACACTGATAAATCGATCAATTAGAGCAGATGCAACAGTTGCTGCTTCCTGGTCACGTAATGGCACTGCTTCAGTCCATTTAGTGAAATAATCAGCTATCACCAGAATGTACCTATTTCCTTTTTCAGTTTCAGGTAGAGGGCCCATTATGTCTATCGCTATTCTTTCCATGGGAGCTCCTACAACATATTTCTTCATTGGTCCTTGATAATGTTTCACAGGTCTTTTTCTTGCAGCACACACATCGCAAATTTTACACATGTGTTGAATATCCTTCCTCATATTAAACCAATAGAATCTACATTTCACTCTTTCCAAAGTTTTGTTAACCCCTAGATGCCCAGAAGTTCGAGAACTGTGTAACTCATTCATCACATATTTCTGTAATTCTTTAGGCAAGACAATTAACCACAGAACTTCTTTTCCACTATCTGATTCCCACTTAAAGTACAACACATCATCCTTTAGCGTTAGTGAATCATACCGGGCCCAGTAATGTTTCACTTCTAAGGATTCGGAAGAAATATCCTTCCATTCAGGTTTAATCCCTGATGATTTCCATGTCATGACATTTTTCAAAATACCATCATTTTGTTGCATTTCCGACATCTCCGGTACGGATACAACTCTGTTACACATAGCGACACCAACTGGCGTAACAGTATTCGGACTCGCACTCGCGTCCTTCTTTAACGCAATTTCCAGCAAGCTACCCGAAAACTCACATCCACTGATGTCCGTTTGAATGCCAATCTCCTCACTAGAAGTGACATTCTTTTTCTCAACTTTTTCACAATAGGAACACTCAACATGAAAACAAGGGCGTCTGGACAACGAGTCAGCATTTGCATGCAACCTTCCCTGTCTATGTTGAATTTCCATATCATAAGTAGACAAAATTTCAATCCATCTAGCCATTTGACCTTCAGGATTTTTTAAATTAAGCAACCAACGCAATGCACCATGATCAGTTCTCACAATGAAATGTCTGCCATAAAGATAATGATGAAATTGTTTCACTGCTTTCACAACTGCCAACAATTCCTTTCTCGTCACACAGTACTTCCTTTCTGGTTTTGAGAGTGACTGACTGTAATAACTTATCACTTTTTCCTGATCATCCTGTATCTGTGACAACACAGCACCAAGTCCTGAATCACTTGCATCCGTGTCCAACATAAATAGTCCAGTTCTGTTTGGGTAAGCCAATATTGGAGGTGACACAAGTAGCTCTTTCAAAGTCCTAAAAGAAAGATCACACTCTTCAGTCCACAAAAATTTCCTCCCTTTTTCCGTAAGTCTGTGAAGTGGTTTGGCGATAGAAGCAAAATTTCTAATAAATTTCCTATAATATGAGCACAATCCCAAAAAGCTCCTAACTTCAGTCACATTCTTAGGAATTACCCATTCCTCAATAATTTTTGTTTTCTCTGGATCTGTAGAAACTCCATTCTCATTCACCACATGTCCCAGAAATTTCACTTCTTTTTGAAATAAAACACATTTCTCTGGATTTAATTTCAAATTAGCTTCCCTAATTCTTTCAAACACTTGAGATAAATTTGAAACTTGATCCTCAAAAGAGTTGCCAATCACAATTATGTCATCCAAGTATGCCATACAAATTTTCCAATTCAATCCATATAGCACTTTTTCCATTAGTTTTACAAATGTTGCACCACTATTACACAATCCAAATGGCATGACTTTAAACTGCCAAAACCCACTGTCAAATGTTGCAAAGGCTGTTTTTGGTCTATCCTCTTGTTCTACCTCAACTTGCCAATAACCACTTTTTAAATCTAAAGTTGAAAACCATTTAGAACCACTTAAAGCATCTAATGAATCGTCAATCCTTGGTAGCGGTTGAGAATCCTTCACAGTCACATCATTAATTTTTCTGTAGTCCAAACAAAATCTAGCTGTCCCATCCTTCTTTGTCACTAATACCACAGGAGAAGCCCAAGGTCCATTTGATGGTTCAATTATGTCAGCATCCTGCATTTCCTTCACTGAATCTTTCACAATTTGTTGTTTAGCTAAAGGAACTCTCCTGGGTCTCTGCTTTATTGGAGTTGCACCTTGTGTATCTATTTTATGAGTCACTAGATTTGTTCTCCCTATGTCACCTGAATGTTTAGAAAATACATTTTGATTTGACAGTAAAATTTGTTTCACTTTTTCTTTTTGGTCACCGTTTAAATTCACAGAGCTATCCTCAAATAACCTCTCCAGATGCTTCGGTAAACAATTAGACTCACTTGTCTGACATCTACGGACTTCATTTGTGTCTGTTTCTAACTGCACTTCATTTACCTCAACACATTGAGCAACCAAAGCATTTTTATTGAGGCTAATGTCTCGATCAGTTAAATTCAATAGCCTTACGGGAACACTATCTCCAGACACATTAATCACACTTGATGCTACGAAAAGATTATAATGGTCACTAAATTGTTCACTTGGCTCAATCAAAGCAAAATCAGAGTTTTCCAGAGCATCAATCACTTTTCCCTGTACAATTGCTTCACTATTTGCTGGCACACAAGTTGATGCTGCAATCACTACTCTACAACACATGGCCTCTACACTAGATTTAAAACAAGGAATAACACTGTTTCCCAACTTTAAATTTTGTTCACTCAAAACGACATCACAATGGTGTTCCATAAGAAAATCCATTCCCAGAATCCCGTCACCTTTGATATCAGCAAGCCACATTTCATGCCAAAAAACCATTTCACCCACTTTCAAGCTAAATTTCCCTTTTCCAAAGAAAGGAGAGACTTCACCTGTGGCTGTCAACATTGCAATATTTACAGACTCCAAACCTGGCTTTTTGTTTTCAGGCATATTCTTGAAAAAATCAACACTAAGAATAGATATGTTTGCACCTGTATCTACAAGCAATGCAATTGGTACACCTTGCACATATGAACGTATATACAAGCCATCACCATTCAACCATGATGATCCAACTAACTTCACTTTGGGCCATTCATTTCCTCCCGAACCCTGGCCCCGGAATTCGGTGCTCTCATGTTTCCCCCCTGATGCAGATTTTTGTTTGAATGGGGTCCATTCGAATAACTTGCCTTATGATTGAGAGCTTCCTGACACAGTCTTAATTCTTTTCTCATTTCATCCATATCCCTTTTCAGTCCTTGAATTCCAAATTGAATATTATTTGGACTTTGTTTAACATTGGTCTGTGGATACCTGCCATTCCCATATTTTGAAGGTGTCGGAGGCCGTTTTTATTTGGCAGCTTGTTGGATGGTTTCTCGGGGTATTGAGAGGTATCCACTGACCTCACTAAAACTTTCCCTCTTTGCCTATCTGCTAATTTATGGGTCTCAATGCGAACTGCGATAATTTCTGCTTCTGAAATATTTTTTGGTCTTGCTTCACGAAGTCTAAACCGCATATCCGGGTCTGTCAAAGCATCAATGAAATGATCCAACGCCAGCACATCCAACAAATTAGACGAGGCATTTGGGTATGCTTGTCTAGTTAACTTTCGTATTGTTTGTGCAAGCTCGGGAATACTTTCATCCCTGTTTCTTGTTTTTGACTGTAATCGTGCTCTAAACATTTCAGCTCTATTTGTTGTGCCGAATCGATTGGATAATGCTTTCACTAATTTGTCAAAGTCCCTTCTTTCAGTTGATGACAATTCGTTTAAAATAGCTCTTGCTTGTCCCTTCAAACTTCCTGCCAAATAAAGAGATTTTGATTCATAACTCCATTTGTTTATGTCTGAAAGAATATCAAACTGTGTCACATACTCCTCCCAATCATCAGTTCCATCGTAGTACTGAGGTTTCATCTTAATGGCACTGAGCGACATCGCGCTTGAAATCTGAGGTTTTTGTTCCTTGGGAGAATCAGAATCCTCCAAATTACTCGGTTTCTGTTCACTCTCCCCTGACAAATTCAATGAACTCTCCTCCTTGCACTGCTGACCTTTCCTATCAGACTGACTTATGCTTTTTGTTACTCCTTCAAAAGATGTGTCCTTATTAAATGGTTTGACTTGCTCATTCAAATCCCATTTAACACTCTTTTGAAATCCTAGAGCACTCTTTGGAGTAGAAGTCACAAAATCCAGAACTTTTTCATCCCCAAAATTCAATTCTTGTGACCCATTTTTGACACTACTTTCCTTCTTAATCTCCTTCTCAAGATGCAACACCGAATTCTCACCTGATGTTTCTATTTCTTGTTTAATTTCACTGAATACTTCCTCTTTTATCATTTTCAGTTTTGTGTGATATTGATCAAATTCTTCCCTAACTGATTGAAACATGTTTTCCATAAACATTTGCTGTTTTTCCATTTGACCAAATACCGTTTCTTGAAACTGAGATAAAGTTGTATTCAATTCTTCCTTCATAACTTTAAGATCACTTTTAAAATCTTTCCGGGCTTCCTCGTCGGGCACCTGATAATTCACTTCTTTACTATTTTCATCTAACGTCATAGTTTCATGCCACTGCTCTTCATCAAAAATAGATTCACTTTCACCTTTCGTTTTAAACGAAACAATTCCCGAAGACTTATCCATTGTGTTTTTGAAATTTACACTCATCAATCAAAACAAAATCACAACACTGAAATACTGTTTGAATTCACCAAAATAACAATAACAATTTTCACCTATAAACCAAATCCCACCGCTGCCACCAATGTGACGCGAGGCGAACTCGTCAACACAATTTTTATAGGGAACGTTGGTTTTTATTGTGAAAATTATTTAATGCTCCAATTTGAATCACACATTGTAACACTATAATCCACTGCACTAGTAAATCCCAATATATAAATCCCAATGTATCAATTTGATTAAGTAAACCTTGTATTAAACCTTTACCTTTCTTTAAGTAATAAAACCAATTCTATTCTACTATTTATTTACAGTTTAAAGAAAATGAAAGTCATGAAAAATTATGAAAACAAATCAACCCAACTTCTTTTATTCTCCTAACTTACCTAATAATTCCCTATTAAAACTATATATAATTATCAATGAATACCTTTACATTTATTATAAATCCCTAATACTTTAACCAATCACCAGAGCTACACCTTGGTAAATATTTCGGTGTAACCCAATCACCAGAGCTGCACCTTGGTAAATATTTCGGTGCAACTCGGTGTTTACCAAGATTAACCAAGTCACCAATACACAACACCTTGGTAAATTTCGGTGTAAAATTGGTGCTGGTATTAATTTCCAGGAATAAGAGAAGTAATAGCCGTTTAATAATTTAGGCTATCACCAATAATTTCTCCGAAAGCCCTTGGTGTGTAATAATTTTACCAAAGATCTCGGTGAAATATCAGGTGTCACTTGGTAAATCCTAACCAAACTATAATAAATGTTTAATTACCAAATCCTCTCTAGCCCGTCTTAACTGAGCCTCCGACATCTTCAAAATAATCAACAAGTCTACAGAGCTATTAACCAATTGAACCCTATTTATACTGGTCATCCCCTCAATGACAGTTATATACTGCAGATTAATAGAGATGCTGGCTAAGAAACTCCCCCTACCAGACGGCCCACTGTGAATAAATAGAAGTTGGGAAGTGATACAAATTAACAAAGAAACATTAAGCAATGTATTTACACAGCAATTCACTACTGTAAAATTAGATCATTAAACAATTATCAGGATAAAGAGAGTTACAAAACTTACCTATCAAGGTAAAATATAAATTTGTAACATAATTCATCATGTAAATTGCAATCACTCAGCTATATTCCGAGCTTCCTCTGACTCTAACCCCTGTTTTTATCATATTGTGACCTGTGCAGCGTTTCCCCTGCACAAGTCACAATATGAAAACAGGGGTTAGAGTCAGAGGAAGCTCGGATTATCACTCAGCAGGATCTTAATTCTTGAAAACAACCAGCATTACATAAAATTATTTAAGAAAAAACGACAAAGGGAAGTAACTTCAAGAGATATAATATCATTATGTTTACAAACAACATTTACTTACTTACGATAGACAAGTGGTCTTGTCACTTTTTAGTCTGTAGCCTACCTTATCACCCGTCTTATCAGGTAGGTAAAGGTATCACACCGGTAATTGACCAATCAAAATGAACTTAGTCAAATGTAGGTCCATATATATAGAATTAATTTTCTTTTCTTTTGGGGCGTTTTTCTATTTTCTTCCATACCATTTTTACAACTTTGGTACCTGTGCCCAGTAAATGTTATGTACTTTGTGACTAAATGAAGGTTTTGGACAGGAACTATTTTTTTCATGGCATAGGAGGCTACTTCCTGTAGTGCACTCGAGGTGTTTATAAACACAGTGAAAACACGTGGATTTGAGGGTAGCCCTGTTTGCAGATGGAAAAAGTCCGAAAATGCCGTGTGGGTACCCTGTTTTTTGGTGTCAGCTAATGTGACAGGTAATGTTTAACACCTTCTGCTACATATTTTTTCATGTAAACAAATACCCGATTTTTAACGATTTTTTATTCTATATAGAATTATATAGTGAAAACAATTACCGGTGTGATACCTTGAAGGTGATTGTGAAAAATCATTTTAATCCTTATTAAAGACATTTTTCATTTTTAAAAGGCATATTTCAACAAAATATGTGATTTTATTGACTTTTTGTTTGAAAACACACAATTTTAAAAGTAGAATTAGAATTTACATTATTTTTCACAGATTTCTGTTTAAAAATTAACAATAGGCTATATTTTACACTCAATACTTTAAAATATGACTAAAAAGGTAGCATTATGCATCTAAAATGTGGAAAGAAGTCAGAGAATATTGTTTTTTCATTTTATATGACTTAACATTATATGCACCAGCTGACCGCAGTCAATTATAGTGTCTACAGACTTTGCGGTAAAGGGTGTTAAAGCTGATTTTTCAAGAATAGACTAATTCTAGGTTTGCGAATGAATTTTTAGCATAAGCGACAACTGCGATAAAATGTAAACAAGTAGAAATGTTATCACGAAATGATAATTTCTACAGACACATGACTTATTTTGATTTATTCAGACCTCCAGTGATACATACATTACTGCATTGGAAGAACAGAAATAATGAAATGAGTCAGATCTGTCTAATAAATTTAATACATAAGCTACATAAGTAAAATTCATTAAGAATTTTTCACAGTAAGGAAGGTTATGACCAAAAAATCCTGAAATACTGTCAAGGTCTGCATGATAATACTTATTCTGAGTTCTAACCATGCATTATACATGTAGTGCAGAAAGTCACTTTGCACCATGGCATGCCTTTTGTGGTTCTTTGGACTTTATTTATGCTTGCGCAGCTGACATTCATGTTTTTTCAGTTTGTCGGAGACTGTTTTTTGTTATTTTTTCATTTATATGTAGGTGTTGACTGTCACTTTTGAATTAAGTCTCAGTCAGTGATGCTTATATGAGCATGATCTATTAAGTACATCATTGTACTGAAATATTAATAAATTCCAAATTTAACAGATGAAGAAATTTGGCATATTTACATAATTGAAATATCAGAATAACTATAACTCAGCTAATAAGGTGCACATCTCTTCTCAGATCACTTCCTATAAATTTTATCAACAGTTTTTGTACACCCACCCACCTCAAAGAATCAAGGAGGATGTCCTGAATCAGGTCTCTGTGATGCATTTTGTCTCATAGAAAAGTGTTCAAACTCATTAAAATGTTTAATATTTATATTTTATAATTTAAATGTTTATTTTTTTATGTAAATTTGTTGAAACAGAAAGATATAATCTTGCATAAATCATGGAAATTCATTAAACACCTTTGGAATTCCTGAATAAATCCATGAAAAGAGAATAATTATGCATGTTAAATTGAAATTTCATGGCTAATTTGTGTCTTAAGAGAAAGCCAGTTGCATAAATCACAACAATAAATTACATCTGAATTGTTGTCTCCAGTTTCTTATCATCAAAACCAGTTTAATGGAGTGTGGGAGCTGTGAAGAACCTCCCTAGATGCTGATATCATTTTGACTGCCCTGAGTTACAACACAGCATTTAGATAAACTTCTGCACAGCAGCTTGTAGACACATACCTAGGCTTTATTTGGAACATAAATTGACCAGAAACAGTGTTCATTATCAACCCAGTATTTAACAATTTCTGTATTTTTGTTCATTCTTTGAAGGGGAAAATGCTACTTTGTTATGTAATAATTACATAATGGTCTTAGACTTGTAAACTCTTTTCTGTGTGTGGTGAAGAACAAAGCATATACTCTCCACGGATAAAAAATTGGTTGCCAAGCTTATTCTTTTAATGATGAAATTCTGCTTCAAAAGATGCACAAAAAACTGCTTCCAGAGTGTTGTGTGTGTTGTTCTTGACTGCTCTGGAGTAAGGGAGATAAATGCTTCATATCTTCAGAAATAAGGGGATTTCGATCACCAGACTTGGGGATGTTGGGGACAATTATCTAATGAATCTCAGGTGCAAAAATGGGAAAAATCGAACACCTTCAAAGGTCCTTCAAGGTATCACACCGGTAATTGACCAATCAAAATGAACTTAGTCAAATGTAGGTCCATATATATAGAATTAATTTTCTTTTCTTTTGGGGCGTTTTTCTATTTTCTTCCATACCAATTTTACAACTTTGGTACCTGTGCCCAGTAAATGTTATGTACTTTGTGACTAAATGAAGGTTTTGGACAGGAACTATTTTTTTCATGGCATAGGAGGCTACTTCCTGTAGTGCACTCGAGGTGTTTATAAACACAGTGAAAACACGTGGATTTGAGGGTAGCCCTGTTTGCAGATGGAAAAAGTCCGAAAATGCCGTGTGGGTACCCTGTTTTTTGGTGTCAGCTAATGTGACAGGTAATGTTTAACACCTTCTGCTACATATTTTTTCATGTAAACAAATACCCGATTTTTAACGATTTTTTATTCTATATAGAATTATATAGTGAAAACAATTACCGGTGTGATACCTTAAAGACCCACGTCCAGCTAGCTTGTGTTTATCGAACCCGACGCATTTAACTTATAATAAGGTATCCGGTCCATATTAGCCTCAGATTCAATGAAACTGCATATAAGATATTTATAGACTGAATACTCTGTATATTGAGATATATTTTTCATGTTTTAGCACCAGTCATCGTCTCAAGCCACGGGTCGGAGTCCACATATAGCTCTCTGCAGAATGGGAGAGGGTCATACATTTTGGCCGTAGTTTGCGACGATGCCTGCGACGTAAGTATGTAAGAACAGAACATGTCCTATTTTATTACCCTTTTCTGATAGTTTTCAATCGTTTTTTGCTCACCTGTGCCAAAGGCTCAAGTGAGCTTTTCTGATCAAAATTTGTCCGTTTTCTATCGTCGTCGTTGTCGTTGTTGTTGTCGTCGTGGTTGTAAACTTTTCACATTTTCATCTTCTTCTCAAGAACCAATGGGCCAATTTCAACCAAACTTGCTACAAAGTATCCTTGGATGAAGGAGATTCAAGTCTGTACAAATGAAGGGCCACGCCCTTTTCCAAGGGGAAATAATTATGAATTAGATAAAAATTAATGGTATTTTCAAAAAATCTTCTTCTCAAGGACTACTGGGCCAGGAAATATAAAACTCATGTGGAATCATCCTCAGGCAGTGTAAATTCAAGTTTGTTCAAATCATGACCTCCGGGGGTAGGGTGGGGCCATAATAGCCGAACAAAGTTTTACATAGGAGTATAGGGAAAATCTTTAAAAATCTTCTTCTCAAGAACCACAGCGCCAGGAAAGATGAAACTCATGTGGAATCATCCTCAGGTAGTGTAAATTCAAGTTTGTTCAAATCATGACCTCCGGGAATAGGGTGGGGCCCAAATGGCCGATCAAGGAATATTTAGGAAAAATCTTTAAAAATCTTCTTCTCAAGAACCACTGGGCAAGCAAGGAAAGATGAAACTCATGTGGAATCATCTTCAGGTAGTGTAAATTCAAGTTTGTTCAAATCATGACCCCAGGGGCTTGGGTGGGGCCAAAATGGCCGATCAAAGTTTCACATAGGAATATATAGGAAAAATTTGTAAAAATCTTCCTCTCAAGAACCACTAGGCCAGGAAATATGAAACTCATGTGGAATCATCCTCAGGTAGTGTAAATTCAAGTTTGTTCAAATCATGACCCCAGCGGGGGTAAGGTGGGGCCAAAATGGCCGATCAAAGTTTCACATAGGAATATATAGGAAAAATCTTTAAAAATCTTCTTCTCAAGATCCATCGGACCAGGAAAGATGATACTCATGTGGAATTATCTTCAGGAAGTGTACCTTCAAATTTTTTCAAATCATGACCCCTGGGATAAGGGAGGGGCATAATGGCCCTTAAAAGTTTTACGTAGGAAAATATAGGAAAAATCTTTAAAAAGTCTTCTTCTCAAAAACCATTGGGCCAGGAAAGATGATACTCATGTGGAATCATCTTCAGGTAGTGTAGAATCAAGTTTGTTCAAATCATGACCCCTGGGGGTAGGGTGGGGCCAATATATGGCTGATGAAAGTTTTACATATGAATATATAGGAAAAATCTTTAGAAATATTCTTCTCAAGAACAACTGGGCCAGGAAAGATGAAACTCATGTGGAATCATCCTCAGATAGTGAAGATTCAAGTTTCTTCAAATCATGACCCCCGGGGGTAGGGTTGGGCCAAAATGGCCGATCAAGGAATATATAGGAAAAATCTTTAAAAATCTTCTCAAGAACCACTGGGCAAGGAAAGATGAAACTCATATGAAATTATCCTCAGGTAGTATAGATTCAAGTTTGTACAAATTATGACCCCCGGGGCTAGGATGGGGCTAAAATGGCCGACCAAATTTGTACAAAGGAATATATAGAGAAACCTTTTAAAATCTTCTTTTCAAGTACTTCAAAGCCATGATTAGTAATATTTATATGGAATCATCCTCAGGTAGTGTAGATTCTAGCATGTTCAAATCATGATCCCCTGGGGGTTAAAATTCAAGCCACCCCCACCTCAGTAAACTTTCAGTTCTGATCTGATATGTGCTTTTTCCTAGCCGATG